GATATACACACCTGTTTAAAAAAACTTCCACATCTTGTTACGTAAATCTATCCTTATATATAAGTCACTCTCAAGTAGTTTCCATAACTGGCTGATAGCCTATGACGAGTACTATTTATTTTATTTTTTATTTATATACCCTTACCGTTGCCGGTGTGGGGTGAGAAACATAGTACAAAAAAGAAAAGAACAAAAAAAGAAAAACATGAAAAAGAAAAAGAAAAAGAAAAAGAAAAAGAGTCTATTGTCTATTTTTCGACGGACACCACGTAGATCGCTACTAAAAATTGAAAGAAGATATTATCAGTCTATTAACCTCTGATGAACAGTTTAGATAATAGCCATCATATGAATCTCATTTCAATTATAGTAGTTGAAAAGCCATGAAGTTGTTTAGTTGATCTTGTTTCGTTTGCACCACACCTTTGCTGCCACGCACGATTTGACATGATTTGTGATACCCTGTGGTTTAAACCTTAGTTCGCAACCAGGACACTTATATTGTTTATTCTCTTTTATTAATATTTCTGTAACTTTACGTTTTATTGAGCCTTTTGATGTAGCTAAATCTATTTTTCTTCTCTGAATCGATTGTTTTTTGTATTGAAAAACAATATCTTTAATATTCACAGAAACTGGTTTTACGTAGACATTTTTATTAATTATTTCACGCCATTTTTTCCTATCAAATGTCAGCCTGCGCCAGTTCTGCATATGTAATTCATCTATGTCTTTTAGAATTTTGTCTTCCCACTCTTTATATCTTCCTAAATTACTAGGTCTCTTTTCGTCATGAAAATATGAAAACATTGCTTTTTTTATTAATGATGGTGAACCGTCCGGCTTGGTAGAGCGGGTAACATGTCCAAACCATCTTAGCCTGTTTCTACGTATGATATTTTCAATTGAAGGTTGACCTGTAATATCTAACAATGTTACATTAGACATTCTATCACCTAAGTTTACTCCTATGATTGTCCGTAAACATTTATTATAGAAAGTAGTTATTCTTTTTTCTTGATTAATAGTAAGAGCCCATGCTTCACTACCATATAGTAAAACTGGTAGAACACAAGCTCTGAAAATTCGAAGTCTCGCTGTAATAGAGACTGATTTTCTATGCCATATAGCATGGCGTAGTGAATTAAAAGCTTTAGAAGCTTTAGTTAGTCTTATAGATATTTCTGTGTCATGTCTCTGATCTTTCGTTATGGTACAACCTAGATATGTAAAAGAGTTAGCTATTTCGATTTTTTGATTTCTGATATTTATATTTATATCAGCATCATAATCGATAACTTGTCCTTTTAACACCTTTCTATGTTGATCTTCTTTTAGTTGTTGTAATGACATTACACAGGTTTTTTTGATATTCATAGTCAGCCCGTATTATTGTGTCACTTTTTCAAAACAACTAATGAATTTTTCTAGATCATCGATCTTTTCACACATTACAAGTAGATCATCTGCATATAATAATGCCAAAATGTCGAAGTCATTATGGCTTTCGTTTTTTCCGTGAAAGAAGTCATTACTACCATACGAGAATTTTACTCCTGATATGGCAGCTTCACTAATAACTTCTCTTATGATGAAATCAAATAGAATGTTGAATAGGATTGGTGAAGGAATACCTCCTTGCATTACACCTGTATTCATTTCGAAACTATCTGACAATTCACCATTTATTTTAACTTTTGCTATTGTGTGTTTATATAGCATTTTTAGTAGATTGACCAACTTATTAGTAATGCCGTAACTGCGACATACTTTCCATAAGAGTTCACGATTTACCGAATCGTAGGCTTTCGTGATATCAATAAAACACATGAATAATGGTTTATTGAATGCTCTTCTTTTTTCCATGGTCATCTTTAAAGTAAAAATCTGATCTATAGTTGACCTGTTTGGTCTAAAACCAGATTGTATTTCTAATAGTTTGCATTCTACTAGATCATGAATACGGTTGAGTATAATTCGTGAGAATATTTTACTAGTTGTATTCAGTAGTGCGATGCCCCTATAGTTGTCGCAAAGTTTCCTATCACCTTTATTTTTATACAGTTTGATTAGGGTTGTCATGTTCCATTCATTTACCATATGCTCGTTCTCCCATACATCAGTAAAGAATTCGAACAACCACCGGATTATCGGTTCACCACCAGCTTTTAGGATGTCAACTGTGACTTCATCACTACCTGGGGCTCTCCTAGATTTCATTCGACTCAATGCTTTTCTCACTTCTTCAATAGATAGTGGAGCATTTTGTCGTCGCTCTTCAGCTATTGAAATGGTCGGTGTTTCAATCAGATCAATAAGATTTTGATCTATTGATGAGATGACGTTGAGTGTTTCATGGAAAAATTCACGCCAACGCTTTAAAGTATCCTTTGAATTAACCAGTAGTTTACCACTTTTATCTTGTACTGGCATGTTTTCGTCTCTTTTACTTCCTCCTCTGAGACGTCTAATGATGGAAAAAGCCGTTATAGGATCATTATTTTTGATAGATTTTTCTATATTTTCGCATACTTCATCCCAATATTCTTCTTGACGGTTTTCCGTCATTATTTTCGCTATTTTTCGTAGGCGTTTATAGTTTTTATGAAATTTAGACTCTAATTTAGAGCCACGATTGTTTTGCCATTCAACAAATGCTACTGATTTTTGGTCAATAACTTTTAGAATTTCACTTGTCAACCATTCTTTCCTTTTTCGTTTCGAGTTTTTGTCAACAGGAAAATGATATTTGGCCTTTTCTTTTATCTGTGACAAAAACAATTCGTATCTTTGATCAATGTTGATTGTGTCATCACTTGCAGTATCTAATATGTCATGAAGATCTTTTTGAAACGCTTCTAGTAGTTTGTCATCTTTTAGCTTAGCACTATCAACGTTTACTCTCTTCGAATTGACATTTTTTCTTCTGCTTTTCAGATGAATTTTAATCTTGGCACGCATCAGATGATGGTCAGTACCTATTGATCCTGCTGCCCCTCTCAGCATACGAACATCCTCTACGCTTGATCGAAACTTTTTATTGACTAGAGTATAGTCAATCATGTGCCACTTTTTATCTTTTGGGTGCATCCACGATGTTTGATGCACGAGTTTATGTTTGAAAAATGTGTTAGAGATTATTATGTTGTTAATCTCACAGAAGTCGATAAGTCTCGTCCCATTTTCGTTTTCTATATCAACTGTAAATGGTCCTATACCGCTTCTTTTCACGTGTTGATGTCGTATTTGTTGGTCATTGCCAACTCTCGCATTTAGATCACCTATAATGATGATCATGTCTTTTGGTGATATATCTTTTAATGTATCTTGTAGATCATTGTAGAATTTATCACTTTCATCGCTCATAAGTTTCGTTTTTGGATTAATAGGAGAGTAAACTGCAATAACAGTGATGTGAATTGGTGCGCAGTAGAGTCGAATTTTAATAATTCGTTCATTTATTGGTACCCATTCGCTCCCCGAATCCTTCCAAACCTTTGTGGCAATCGGATTGAGACAGATTGCCACACCATGAGCTTTTCGTGTTTTTTTGTCGTATGGTGCGCCTGAATATATCATCGTGTAGTCGCTTACTAATTTTACACCGGAATCATACATACACGTTTCACTCAGCGCAGCTATTTGTATTTTATATTTTTTTAATTGTTTGATCATTATTTCCCTCTTCGATTGCTTTAAACAAGACCTAACGTTCCATCCGCCAAAGAAGACATGATTTTGTGCATTAACGCATCTATTATGTTTCCTTTCGTTAGCAAATGTTGTTTAATGTCCAGCTAGAGGTTGCTAGCCTCATGACCAGACGGTTGGCTACTAGCAGCCCAGGGACGCCCCCCTACCACCACTCGAGAGTGGCCGTAGGACCCTGTGAAAGTTAAGAACTCTCCTAGCAGGCGGGAGTACTATTTAGCACTACACTTCTATATTTTATTCGTTCACGTTTAGATTCAATAAGAGACAAACATCGTTTTTTTATCGACATCACAATATTCATTACAAAACTAACATCAACATTTTTAAATTCTTCACATAAAAAAAGTTCTAGTTCATCAACGTTTTTCGGTTTTCTTTTTTCAACTTTGCGTTTTACGATCGATCATACATTCTCGATAGGATTAACATCTGGGCTATTGGATGACCACTCTAGTAACCGTGGTACTTTGTTGTTGATGAATTGTTTGGAAATATTGCTAGTATGTTTAGGATTATTATCTTGATGTAAACACCATTTTTGATGAAATTCTTGTTTAGCAGCAGGAAGAAGATAGTTTTTAAGTATATGAACATAATATGAACCATCAAGATTGCACCTGAAGGTGTGACAAGTCAATACACCTCTTATACTAATAGCACCCCACATGTGGACTTTGTGTCGATTTTTTAGTATTCGTTTGATTCATTATTTGGGCATTCTGTCTAACGACGAACAGTGTTTCGGAAAAGTTGAAATGATGTTTCATCTGTAAATACTGTATGTGTAAAATCATAGTTTTGGTGCTGTTGTGCCCATTGAATGCGTCGTTGTTTGTGTTCAGATGTTAACATATGGGTACTTCTTGGTAAAATATTTCTATAGGCACTTTTAATAAGATAACGACGTATTGTTGATATAGATACTGATGACCGATAAGCTGATGATAATTTTTCTTTAATTTCTTTTACAGTTATTTCGTTATTATGTCGAATATATTGACCAATAGCTTTTTTCCTATAGAACAGAAGACAACTGGCCGACCATTTCCTCCTCGGTGTTTAAATGAATTTGTTTGTTTCAATTTATTTATATTGTAATAGATAGTCCTTAGTGGTATCTTCGTTTCACGGTGGATAGCATGAGCTGATCGTATGCCGTTGTTCTAATAATGTAATAATGATATATGATGATTTTTCAAATCAGTAGATGATGTCATGATTAAATGTTTATGTATCAAAAAAAAAGAATTCACGCTTTTATATAGTCAACGTGTGATGTTACTAACGGACATATATCTCTGGAAAAGTTAAACTTTTAATTACTTTCTAACGATACAAAAACCGTTATACAAAAAATTCAATTTTGTGCAAGTTTTTTTGAATAGTACTGTCTGCTTCCTTACCATTTATTGAAGTCGATTAAATTTAACACCACAACAAATGACAATGTTTATTAATGGTCTCAAATATATCACACCATGTCAAAGTCGATTTAGTCGTAAACCGATCGATGATGTTGTTACTGAACAATATAAAAATATATCTACAATTGTAAAGGATTGTTTAGCAGACAATAGAATTTCAATTACAGATCAATGAGCAAACCAGGCATTTCAAGCATTAGAACTAATCTTTCATAGATACCAATCTAAAAATGTATCAAAAAAATTAAAAATTCGTGCTCAACGTGAATATAAAATCGTTCAATATGTTCAACGTCTAATACGTCAACGATCATATATTGTTATACGTCGAACGGATAAGAGTAAAGTATTTTATATTGGCAAAGCAGTTGATTTTGAACGTAAAGCAGAAGAATATATGTTAAAAACTGAAGCTTATGAAGAAATTAAAAATGGTCGTTGTCCTTTGGCCGATAATTTACATGCTGTACAAACTCTATTCGATTATCTTGTAACGAAAAAGGCTTTAACAAAAAAACAATCTAACCGATTAATTCCAAAATTAAATAATTTAGAATTAGGTCATTATCATGGTATACCTAAACCACATAAAGTAAATTTATATCAAACAATAGATTAATATTGATTCTTTTCTTTCTTATAGCCTGAAACACCACTACGACCTATAGTAGCCAGTATACATGCACCTGCAACATTGGCATCAAAATTTTTGAATGATATTTTAGCACCTATCTATTTGAAAGTTACTCGTAAATATACATTTATTAATGATATAGATGTTATTCGACAACTAGAAAAATATGCTGCAGATGGTTATCTTACATCAAGAACAAAATTTATTACTATCGATGTTGAAAATCTTTATACAATGATACCAAGAGACGGTGCATTAACAGCATTAGCTCGCTTTTGTGTCAAATATTGTTATCAAGGCAAAATTGGCACATTTACAATTGATCATATAATGAAAACGGCTCGTTTAATTTTGGATACAAACTGTTTTGCTTATAATAATAAATATTATAAACAAATTCGTGGTGGTGCTATGGGCTCAGCATTTACACAAGTTTTAGCAAACATATATTTAATGGAATGGGAACAAGATTTAATTGAACATCAAATAGAACATCATGGAGTCTATGGAAGGTTCGTAAACTAAGTATAATATTTATAAAAACATATAATCTTGTCATTCGTGTAGATATATCGATGATATTTTCATGACAACAAATAAATCCATCGATGAAATTAATGTTGAACTTGAAAAAGCAAAACACAAAGATATTAATATCAAAATTGAACATAAAATAAGCGAATCTGTTCATTATCTTGATGTCATCATTACAAATGAAAATGGTCAATTAAGAACATCTATGTTTCATAAACCAACTGCTGAACCTTATATTTTACCATGTGAATCAGATCACCCACGTCATATACATCGAAATATTGGCTATGCAGCATTATTACGTGCTGCTCGTATCTGCTCACATGTGAATGATTTTGATTCAGAATGTGTTCGTATTGATCTATCATTATTATTAAATGGTTATCCACCACACTTCATTACTCAACAAGTCAATCGATTCTTTTATTTAAACAATGCACTACCTGTATTACAACAATTAAATGAACACGTGTATTCTCATCTACATCATAAATTATTGTATCAACCAACACTTCGTGAGAAAAAATTTCAAGCAATGATGGAAGATCCAATTAAAACACCATTAGTATTACAACCGAAAATATGGAACAAAGAAATAATGTATCCACGTTATTTATTTGATACTTCATTGACAATCAGCTTCCGACAAGAATTCACAAATTGGTGGAAAACATATTATGCATTTTCCAAATCACCACTTGAACAAATTAAAGTACGACTGATTCCTATTACTGGTCGTACACTTGAAACTTTTTTCATACATAAAAAACCTCCACGAGCTATGTTAACCAAAATGGAACCAACATCTTGAACAATAAGACATCACAATATCTTATAAACATAAATATGAACTTTTTTTCAATATCACCTTGAAGTTTAACACTAACTCAATGTAAAAAAAATTCACTTCTAGTTTCTCATTTTCACTGGATAAGTCTTTAGTAAAAAATATATTCATTTGAACATTTCAATGAATAATATTCCTCTTTATTTCAGATTAACATATTTTTATTTACAACACACAATAAATTGCAACCTAACCTATATTATAAAAAGAAACAAATGCAACAGCTATCATACAAACCAATTAGAATATCATCGTCCCTAGCTTCTATTTACTTTGTCAAAAATGATTTACATGCTATCATTCTGTAAGTCGATTTGTATTTTATCTGCTGATTTTCTACAAAAATATCATAGATTTCGCACACATATATCGACCAATCTACGTTCACTACTTTCTTTATTATTTTTGACCTTTTAATATACAACCAACTGATCAGCATCATATTATAAATTAATCGAGTGATTTTGAATCGTTAGAGACACAAAATATATCTGGTGAGTTCCTTAAACAAGGATCGAAACCCGTTGTAAGTAGATATAGAAATTATCTTATCAAAATATATCGATCCTCGAAGATTATAATAAATGAATTTAAAATGCAATAGACAGAAAACCGTTACCATCAGAATAGAAACGAAAAAAAAAATACCCTAGATCGATGTAATACGTTAGCCAGACAGAAAATCGTTATAGACAGAACGCAAAAGAAAAACCGTTAGCCTGAATGAATTTGAATTTCGCTAGACAGAAAACCGTTATAGACAGAATAGAAAAGAAAAAACCGTTAGCCTGGATGCATTTGAATTTCGCTCGATAGGAAACCGTTATAGATAGAATAGAAAAGAAAAAAAAACGTTAGTCTGTATCAATTTGAATTTAGCCAGACAGAAAACCGTTATAAACAGAATGAAAAAGAAAAGAAAAGAATTATTATAATTAATTTTCATTTATCTTCGTTTACTGATAAAACAAATTCATTTTCATCATGTCTGAAATCAAATCATTACCAAATAATTCCATTCCCTCATGTTATATTAATAATAATAATATTAATAATAATATTAGTTCAAATCTTCAAGCCGAATGTATTGAAATTTTGAATACTGTACAAAATGAATTGTTTTTTGATCAAGATCTAACATATGAACATAGAATGTACATTTTGAATCGTCGTCATACAATCGAAAGTGGTTTTATTACAATGCTACATGATCGTATTAATCAGATAAATATCGATATTCATATTCGTGAACGTTTAGCTACAAATTTAAATGGATTTAATTCAAGTTTTAATAATGTTGACTTGTATACTGATATACGTGATTATTTTAGTACCAATCATGATTCTGATGAAGAATCTTATTTCGATCCTGCAGCTGATGATACATAATCGAATTCAGAAGACTGTTGTGATGATTTAGAGAATTTAATACTTGATGACATTGAATTTGAAGATGCAATTGATAATTATTATCATTGATATTGTAACTAAACTTGTAGTTTTGTTTATAGTAATCCAGACATGTATTTGAATTTATTAACTTTTTTTTTTTGTTAGTTAATTTGTTCCATGTATTTCATTTGTGTATATCAATAAACTAGAACTAGGATACATTTCATGTCAAAATCAGAATATGGGACGTCTAATTAAATATTTTTTCCCCACTACTAGTTTTATTTTAATTTATGATCATATTTTAGATATTTACTACACGATACTGTCGATTAAAAAATGATACAATAAGATCAATTAATTATTCAATTGAATGGGTAAACGAAAAAGGTAAATATACATGGAGTAAATGTACGACTATTTGTCATCAGTAAGACCTTATATATCGTAGACATATCCAGGTCTATCGTTATAAAATAATACTACGTAATAGAGGTCAGTCATCGGTCACACACATATCGAGGTCTATCATTATTAAATAATGTTAAGTAAGAGAGGTCAGCCATCGGTCACAGATATATCCACGTCTATAGTTAATAAATAATATTTTCCCATAGATGTCTAGACATCAAACATCTAGGGACTGGTCACTCGTCTATATAAACACTTGCTTCGCAGACAATCTTGTCACTTCTTCATCCGACACAACAACAACGAGACGGTTCAGATCTAACAAGAACTCACAACAATAATCTTGGTTCACACATATTACCATCAATAGGTATGCTTATTATTTATTTTGAAATTATCCCTTACACTTGCATCTTCAAATTAGAATATTTCCTTCTCATTATTTACTAGTTATACCATAATAACAAATCAAACTACACTTCATCTAATTAAAAACTCATTTTAAAAACTCGAACATTTTCTGAAACTCACAATTACTGTGTATCCTAATTTTGTTTAATATTTAGTCTAATCATTACAGATAATTATACTACTCGACATTATTCCTGATTTACATTTTCTCAATCAACTATAATTATGATACAAATAATTTTATTATTACTGAACGTCGTTATAGATTCAGAACATACCTGATGATGATCAGATTAAGCCCTGATCGAAACGCGTCGTATGATGCTTTGAATCTCATTATTTATATTAACACACCCGCACCCACACCCCTATGGTATAATATGTCAAATACATCTAATGTATTATTCAATAACTCAAACAAGTTCGAATATGAAGTCATTCAGTATTTCTTCATTTTATTATTTCATAAAATTGCAGAGCGAATCTTTTTTCGAGCTACATAAACAATCATTCACATTCACTTCACAAATAAATATCCACTTTCAGTCATAATCAACATCGAATCTTAATACTCGACAATTATCAGAATCAACCAGGTAAAGATTACCCTGGCGATCAAAAGATACATCCTGAGCACGACCGACCTGATCTGGCTGATTTCCAAATCCATTCCCACCAACTACAATACTACCTTCGCTTGCACCTTTCGACCAACGTACTATTCGATAATTGAACACGTCAACCACATAAACATTATCGAACTCATCGACAATCACTCCTCGAGGACTATTCAATTGTGATAAAGCCGTTCCTTTGCCTTGTCCACCAGCAACAACAATTCCTTCTGTTGCATCTTTCATCCATTTCATTACACGATTATTAAACGTGTCGGTCACATACAATGAATGTTCTTGATCGATAAAGATATAACAAGGCGAACTCAGTTGATTAGCGTGATATCCAGGTTCATAATCACCAGCTATAATAGTTCCATCTTCTGTCTCCCCATCATTCCATCGTCTAACTCGAACACTGGAATGGTCAGTGACATAGAGATCTCCATTACTATCCATTGCTAGACCTAGACATGTTATCGACGACATAAGGATTTGTTCGATGATTTGACGTTCGCGAGACCATCGTACGACACGCCAATTTGAGTGCTCACAAATAATAAGAGAATTATCCTTTTTGTCAACGACCACATCGATGGGACCAGACAATTGATTCATTTCATCGCCCATTTCATTTCCACCAGCAACAACTTCACCAGTTTTTGCACCATATTTCCATTGTATGATTCGATGATTCGACGTATCTGCAACATAAACACTTTGATTATCATCATCAACATAGATACCCTCCGAGTACCAAAGTTGATGTGAACCATCTCCGCAGCCATTTCCTCCAGCAATCGTTAATCCATTTTGATTCCATTTCCGGATATGTTTATCTACAGTGAAACGAAAATTTGTCCTTTTATATGACAATCAAACATCATTTATCAGATTTGCATCGAAAATCAGTGTCACTAATATATATTTCCACTCGATAGTGCCCTGATTTTCTTATCTACACGCTTACTTCCAGTTTTCAGTAGTATAATTATGCACAAACATGAACTATACTCACAACTCTCATTTACATTTGCATGTCAAATCACAAAAATGTTTTCTGCATGCATCCCAAATATCAGTCCATAGCCTGATAGTCTTTGTTACGTATACACATAGTCTTTTGTTCTTCAGTACTACATATGATATGACCTGTCGAAGAAGAAAAAAAAACTTCCATCTTCACTGTCAGCCTATAACATTTCTTTTTGTTCATCTGACACCAAGAGTTTGCTATCTTTTAGCTCGCTTGATGTTCAAACTTTGAAGCAAAAGCGGTGTCTTATTTTTCACTAAGTTTAGTTACATCCTGAAATGATAAAAAAAAATGCCGTATATTAATGTATTAATCTGATGTGCTTTTTGTTTTTCTCGAGTCATTGATCAAACTATAATCTTATGACAATGATTTGATGGAAGTAAGACGACTCTTCGACGGAAAATATGAATAGAAGTGACACCTCGAAGATCTCAGACTATTCTCTCATACTCTATTTTCAATCTCGGCAGCTAAACTTAGATTACGCAAGTTAATGAGTGCATATTTAGATATTCAAGAGAAGATAATAGAATGTAATTTAAAGATTTTCTTCGTCAGAGAAAATAGAAATAGTCGTGGCGATCTCGATTGGTGTTTTAGGGAAAGGAAGACAGCAATAGTTACTAGATACATTACACTCATATTGTTAGCGTATTATAAATAACGAACTATACTCTGTTTATATCATTTTTCTTAAACAAAACTATACCTTTAACTGTTGTAGAAGATCGCGTTGATATCAATTTTAATGTTGTAGGAGACTCCGTTGCTACCACTTCTATTGTTGTTTGTTCTGTTGCAGTTGTCTGTGCTAATGTCATTAAAGCATCATTGTTTTTCTTACTCACAATCACTGTTGGAATGATAATAACCATCAGAATAAGAATAACGACAACAAGTATTATCCACATTAAAAATTTTCTTTTTCGAACATGTTCACATCTAGAAGTACAGAAATTCTTTTTACTGCTGATTATTCTACACAATATCTACATACAATCTATTTGGTGTTTGGGATAATGTCGAATCAACCGGTTCAGGCTAAAATAAATAAATAAAATCATCATTACTTTCCTACTGAGACTTCTTCAAAGATTACCTGAGCAATTCCGATCCTATTGTCATTCATCACTAATCAGTTTGACAGATTTAATATTTTCTAATCTAGAAATGAGAAAATTGACAAAAATGAAGAGAAGTATTATTATTCAAAGAAAACATATTTTTTCATTCAGTATTTATCTCATCAATACTTTAGTATAAGTTTATATATGAAAATCGATCGAAAAAGAAACTCGTAATCTCTTTTATATATTGTCGGAGACTAGAAAATTATACGATATTCTTTCGTAAATTACACTTCATCGGACCTCTCACAAATTTTATTATCGATTACGAGTCGGACTACGATCATTTTGAAATGTCTGTGTAAAATATTTCTCTTCTACGGAGAAAAACTATTTAGCATATGGACGTGTGTTTTTTCTACATCTCTTCAGCAAATTTTATTTATCTGTTCGTTGGATATTCAAAGTATAAGTGACAATATCTCGACTGATCTTTGTTTGAGACTCTAATACATCCCTTGATTTTTGATTGTCCGTGAACTTCGTCGGTGACTGATGAGGGAGAGAGAGTGTCGAGAAAAACTCTTTGATGAAGATCAGAACCTAATTTCTTGCTAAAATAACATCAGTATGAAATATATGTTCAAACATTTGTTACAAAATATATCATAGAAGTGAGATTGAGCAGCAGACTGTTTCAGTCAACATTACAACTCAGGATTTTCTCAGGAAATGTCAAGTTTCCTGTGAAAAGAAAACATATTCTTACACTGCTTTTTTGTAGAAAATCACATGAAGAAAAGTCTTCTATTTATCTTCGTTTTCTGCATGTAGATTTATTTCAGATAACCATGTGATATTCAAAGAGCATAATAACAACAAAAATTATCTTTGTGTTCATAATCTTTCGCCAATGAAAACTAGAAGCTTGAATATAATAAGTAATAGAACAGAATAGAATATCACGAGATGTTCTCATATTCTATCGTATGTTCATATCAACAAATGGCGACGTCAATACAAGAAACAGATCAATGGCATGCAAACTATCTCATTCACATTCATACGACGACGGCAATAGATGCTTCACTCATTTTCTTGATCAAATATTAATGATACTAAAATCAAATTGAGGATAGAGAATGAGTGTGGGTGTGGGTGTGAGTGTGTTTGAAGAGGAGAGTATTACCCTCATCCATACCTCAGAATTGGCTGTTTCGATGAATTGTCTTGTTGCCAACTGCAGATGTTACACAGTATATTATATGGAGAGCGAATAAGCGATATGCCAGTTTGTTTCATATAATACTTCTTTTTTTTCGCTTATACTGAGAACATATAGATATTTTTTGCCCGGGTTTATTTTATCAGATGATATTCAATCAAATCATAGAAAAAGAAAAAAAATATCTTCATATTAGCAGCAATACACTTTAGCACGTGATTTGCGGACGGTGACAGTTGTCTTCTTGATCACTTTGACTGGTGCAGGTCTACAGCATACAGTAGTAGTACGTACTACACATCGTGGACCACAGCATGAACCACAGGTTGAACGAACAACAACTGGCATATTGACAGTAGTACTGTAAATGTGGAAGTAGAGTGGAGTACGATGAGAAATAGTTGATGAAATGATGAGAACAAGTATGTGCATATATATAGGGGCACAGATAAATGAAGGAAAGTGCTTACAGTCGACAAAAACAACTGATTATGGCCTCCATGTGAATCTAAGGTAATTATGAATGTCCCTCCTTTGATTAGTTGGAAAGTGTGGAAAACGTAGAAATTTGTGTGTGCATTAACTGTGTGACCAAAACTGTGAAAGGGCAAACGTCATCTGATAGACTTTTTCTGACGGTTGGGTGGGTGGTAATGGAAAAACCAGCTAAATATTTTTCTATCAGAAACATAGGTTCAGACATTCTAGTGCATTACTAACGTGATCCGATTCCGTCGATGCTGAATAAAACTGAAGAGGACAGCAGTATTAAGGACCATATGTAATATATAAATACAAAAACAACTCTCTTGGGAGTAGATCTGGATGAAGAAAGCACCATGTGGAAACAAAAGTCAACTCATTCAATTACTATGATTATCCAGAAAACAAAGAATAAACACAATCAAAGAAATCTTATTTGTCATTGTATTGAGTTATAAGTCAAGAATATGTATTGTTGCTACTTTCTTAGGTACACAAACTTGTCTTAAAATTAAGATAGCCTAAAGAACAAGTTCTCAGTATTATCCCGAGAAACATCAAAAAACAATCTATTAGTGAGTAATTGATAGTTTCTGGTCACTTTTTTGTTAGAGAAAGAGCCGTTGTTCAATCATTTATTATGTATCATTCAAAAAGAACATTATTAATTCTTGCAATATACATCATTTTCTATTTCTCACACTATCTACTTGGAAAACTTCTCTTCTTTTTGCGTTTCAGATGATAGAATCTTTAGTATTTCTCTTTCTTTTCTAGGCGATATTTTTATATATGACAATACTATATCATGACTATATGAATATCTGATCAATCTATATAAAATATGTCTGCAAACTAATTACCCACAATATAACACAGAATACACACTCCACTCCTATCTTCTCTTACTAGTATAAATTGAATTCTTTGTATGTTTTCTATTAGAATTGTATCTCTTTACGACAGAAGAAGGATTTACTTCAGACGTCATACATCAGTTAAGTATCGACAATACTCAGAGTAGACGAAAATTGATGAAATATTTGTATTTCATATGATTTCATGTGTTTCTTAGAAAATCATCAGTCAGTGGAGTGAGACAAAGAAAATGCTTAACATCAAGTTTTCTTTTTCCTATACCAGAACTGATCTCTCTCTCTCATTTGGAAACAATATTCAATACTTTATGGCTTAACATATGTTCAACATGATACATACCATAGTTCTTCCTATTGACTATAACTGTACTATTGATGGCACAAAATATGCCTGCATGAAAACTATCTATAATGACTAATGTTCGGTATCAGTGCATTGATCCACGTTGTTCACCTCTTATGATTGTGTTCATAGCAAACATGAGAGAATGCTAATTATCGTACAGCTACCTTTGATCAATTTAATTATAAATGTGTACAACAACGTCTTGGCAAGTGTGAGTAATAATGGACAGTATCAATGAAAACCTTTCTACTTTATTTTAATATTATGTACTGTAATCAGAGATTCAAACAGGCTCATGGATTTTGTCTCGAGAAGGAAACATAAAACCAATAACGTAAGAAATGCTATAGAAGAGTTACTTGAGAGTTTCATTTCTTTCGAAAAAAAAACAACTGATGGAAGTCGATCATTGACAGAACAGAAAATAAATAGATCATCTATTCGTTAATTTGGATGATGTCTAAAGAAAAACCTTCGTTATCACTCTTAAACTCAATCTAGTCGATGCTTTGCGAATCTCTCACTCTGATACATTTACCTAGTTTTAGATTTCATTGAGAAAATATAATTTATGGAAGGAAACTGTAAAGTAATGAAATCTAGTCAACTAGTTGATTTGAGATGTGGAAATGAATTCACTATAGAAATAAATATGTTAATAATGAATGATTTCGTCTGACTTTTTTTGACAACTAAGAAAAGATCTAAGAGGGTGTGGGTGGGTGTGGATAAGAACTGGACACCCACACCCTTAAATAAATACGTTAGAATATTTATACTACTTTTTTGCAGTCTCCTAATCAAAACGATTGACTAGGAAATGATCTGACATTCGATTTTTTCCAATAAATGTTTTGAAAACACCGAATTTCTACAAAGAGTTCTAGTATCTTGTTTGATCTATCGTAATCGTCAACATGTATATGTTTTACACAGAAGGAATGCTCATTATTAAGAGACAGTTACTTCCTATTCAAAGCTTTTCTTATGCATATAAAACTGAAATGAGAGAATTTTCATGGCAATATCAATAGTAGAAGTTGAGTATCCTTCTGGTGTTGAGATTGAGTATCTTAAGTCTTATTTTTTTCATTTTGCTCTCTACTCCATCTAAGTAAAAGATAGTTCTTCAGTTAGTCGTGAAGAGCAAACCTTCTTCTCTGTTCAAAGAAGTACATAGTTCTCGCGATTCGTTCTCCATCTTTTCAGTCGAATTCATTTAAAATCGTTCATCTACGAGACTTGATTTAACGAAGTAGATCCAAGTCGAAGGTCCTCGTCATCGTGAAAGCCATCGAAAATCATTGAAAAACAAATGTAAAAAATTTCTTAGATCTAGCCATTTCCTTGCCATGCTGTTCGACCTAGCTCAAGGATAGACTACTGGAAGATATCATTATACTAATAAAAGAATAAAGAAGCACAGATATGTTTAGTAGACGAAAAAAGTTAGTGTGAAATCAATAGAATGAGATATGAATATCTACAGTTGTATTCTGAAATATACAAGATCATTCACAATAAGATAATACAACTCTATTAGTCACTGTAATTAGATCCTGATGGTTTATTAAAATGTAACAGCCGGATACTATCTATTGATGATCATAATTTCAAAAATCTTATACCGTTGGCAGCATATGCTGCTGGCATAATGCAGTCGATATTATTGTTGATATCACCGAGTTAAGTAGTGTTGAGTGAGGATGTGGGTGTACACATGATCAGTGTAGGTGAATAAGAAATACAAGTCCACAATCCACCATCACCTTCAGCCATAAATAAGAAAGCAGACTGGCGGTAGAAGGAAAGAGATCAATTCAATAAGAAGATAATTAGTATTCTTCAGAAATGTAGACTAAGAAAACAAACTGTGAGAATCTGTCGTAACCATCGAAGTGCGTAGACGAAGATGGATAGTAGGTGATCATTCACACTCACAAACACCTTTGCATGTTTCCATGGTTTTGTTTCAATTAACATCACAGTACTGTTTCGATGAGTTGATTTGGCAATCATAGATGATTCTCCGTATAGTAGCGAGACAATAACTGTATTTCGGAAATCCTTCTATAGCAATGATAAGTTAACAATACTACTAACACTTGGACATCGTCTCATATTCATTGAATTCACAGACTGTATCTTTTACATGTAATTTCACTTTCTTCATCTGTACAAGCAACATGTAAGTAGTTTTTGCCCGGGTTTATTTTATTAGTTTATATTATATTCAATCAAATGATAGAAAAAGAAGAGAAGTGTTTATATCAACAGCAGCAAACTCTGGCACATGATTTTTTGACGGTGACAGTTGTCTTATTGATCACTTTGACTGGTGTAGGTCTACAGCATACAGTAGTAGTACGTACTACACATCGTGGACCACAGCAAGGATCGCAGCATGGATCACAGCATGAACCACAGGTTGAACGAACAACAACTGGCATATTGATAGTAGTAATGTAAATGTGAAAGTAGAGTGGAGTACGATGAGAAATAGTTGATGAAATGATGAGAACAGGTGTGTGCATATATATAAGTGGCAGAGAAGAACGAAGACAATTGTTTACAGTCAACAAAAATAATTGATTATTACCTTTTCTTCCACATGACAGTACCATAACATGTATGTATATTAGAGAAACGAGTAGTGAAATGTTGCGACGAATGCAATACATCAACTATCAACTACTATTGCATATTAGTTCTCAATGATGCAACAGAACAAACATATGAAACGCATGATAATTATGAGTGTCTCTCATATGATTTATTTGAAAGTGTAGAAAATATGAAAATTTGCTTGCATATTAACTTTGTGAATACAACTGTGAAAGGATAAAAGTCATCTAATAGACTCTTTGGATGGAAGAAGAATGTTGATTGAAAACAAACTAAATGTTTTGTGAGGAAAAATAGAGATTCAGACGTTGTAATACAAGACTAACATTATCAGAATAATGACGATAGTCGATAGCAGAACAGATCTTAAAACTGAAATGTTAAGACGAATATTTTATTATTATCTCACTAAATATCGGAAGAACTTCTTCAGTCAATAATCAATGGTTTCTGTGCACTTCTTGTGAAAAAAAGGCGTTATTTAACAATATAACATGCACAATTGAAAAGACTTTTGTTAAATATATTAGTATATGTGATTTTCTACTCCTCGTGCGATTTACTTGTAAAATCTTTTTTCTTTGTGACTCTCAGATTATAGATCTTTGTTGTTTCTCTTTCTTTTCTGTTGAATATTTTATAAAAATACTATATTATAACTAGAAATATCTTAACAACGGATAAAATATATCTGCAAACTGTTATCCAAAAATATGATAGAATATGCATACTGTTTTCTAACATTTTCTTTTTAGCATCTGATTGAGTGTGTTTGTGGATGAAGATAAGCGTCTCTCTCAGTGTTCGCGAGCTTCATCCACATCCATACTCAAGATATTTTTCAACGACATTTCATCGACATAAGGTACGGTTTGCAAAAACTGCTTTTTCTTCCGATGTTGAAAAAAATGTTTTTCTATGAAAAGTCAACGGAAACTGATGTTTTCCCATTATTTTTAAAAAACTCGTCTGATAAATTGTCTTTTGATGATTTGCATAGTTTACTAGAAGCAGTCAGTAAGAGAATCCTAATATAGATTTGAGGTTCTTCGCTTAGCAGTTCTAGTGCATTTCTGAAAATTAACAAATTCATGACGTAACTATGAACGAATTTTCAGGAGCTATCTACTTCGACTGCATAATATCAACTCAAAAATAACCGGGGAAAACGCCAGCAGTTCTTCCTGTGCAAAAGATAAAGTTTTGTTTCACTGATAAATGCCTAAAAAAATAGATATTTTCCTGTAGATTAGGAAAAAAACAAAACTTTCCCTTTTCTCTTTTGCTCAATCTACGAGTAAGTAAGTATTTCTTTTTCATTTAGAGGCAAGGTAATACTTTATTTTTTGCGTTTTTTTACTGAGATGAGGAGAGATGTAGAAAATTTTCATTTATATTATAAGTCGAATTAGACAGATACTTCTCGTTTCTATCAAATGTTGTGGACTGTAATAAATGATTATCATCGGATTAAAAACCTCATGAAATCTTATTTATTATTCTGAAGATCTTTGCAGCTAAAACTATCTGCTAAAATTTTGTTTTGAAAATAATCCTTTTAAAAAGTCGAATCTGTATATTTAGTTGAAATTGATTCGAACTGACTTAGCCCAATGTATAAATGAATGAAGTTGCTTTTTTTCATTTCCTTGTTTTCTTTATCTTGCAAAACATTTTTCATTTCTCTCTTAACATTATGAGATGTCTAACAACTGGTCATTTATTTTTTTCTCCTAGTCAATATTTATACCTAGTGTAATTATTGAATATTCGAATAAAAATATATGGCATTTACATTCTTTTACGCAGTTAGCTTTAGTGAGATACACATAATCTATAAAAATTTGTTAAAGTGACGTTGAAAACATAAAGCGAAATTCCAATAATGACTTTATCAGTATTCACCGCTTTTTTTCTGTTCTCTATCTATCTATCTATCTAACTAATGGCATATAGAATTTATCTACTCTTTCTCACTATTATCGAAACAGAAAATACGTTGAACTTCATTTTTGTTTTTTTTAATATAACTTTGACTTGAATTTCAGTTATCTAGTTATTTAAATCACTTCTCCTCTCCATTTCTTTTGACTATTAATATTAGAACTTATTCTAAATATTCCCAGTTATCTGGTCGTTCGGTGAATGGTCTTGCAAAGTAAGATCGCTGAAAAGACGGCACATACTATGCACGATAATCTGTCAGTTCTTCATATCACAACAGACTTTTAGATCTTGTCTCAATTGATCAATGGTGACAAAACTGACTCCTACCAACAACCATAATGCAAATAGCAATAACAGACTGAAAATGTAGACGAAAAACAACTAGAGATAATGATATTTGATAAGAAAGTCAACAGAATTTCTAGCATAGTTTCCTAACGCTGCAGAGACACTCTAACATTTTACAAGTCTTTTTATCATATTTTCTAGATCAATAAAATGTCGATCTTAGTTTATTGTCGTGCACTGTTCACGTTTCTCAAATCTTATTTGCTTGAATTAAATCTGATGCAGACAGGTATAGAAGATGAACATGTTATCAAAAATGAACGTCGATCAACTCGATTGTATTTACTTCTCCTTATAATATCCATTATTATTTTGGCCTTTTATTATTCTACCGCATCTTATACTCAAACAATCATTATTAAGTCTCCAACATTGTCTCGATACCGTACTTTACTCTCATATACATCGTTAGAATGCGATTGTTCTACAATAGGTATCAAGTATAACGAATTTCTTTCCATTGCACCTATCTATCATGAATTCTGTCAAAGTAAATTTGTCTTTAATGACTGGATTGATTACTTACAGATTCTCTATGAACAAAGTTGGAATAATTCAGATTTAACTGATTTTCGTCGAATAGCCTTTTTTCAATTTAAAACATTACGTTCCTTTTGTCAACTAGCAAAGGAAACCGTTTCTAACAGTCTCGAATTATTCCAACAACGGGAATTTGTTCAATCAAAATTAGTTTTCGAAGAACAATTTCAAGCTCAATTGAATTCATTTATCGGAGAATTCATTGATTCAACACCCAAAATATTCTTGAGAACACTAAATTTGATTCAAGATATGACCGCACAGAATTTATTAATGACTGGAGCGTCAGTATCCAGCGTTCTACCAAACATACTCCAAACAACATTCGGCGACGATATTATTCCTTATTCTGGATTAATGTATACATTTTTGAATGGTTCTACTTGTACTTGTTCAAGTTCAACTGCTACTAATTGTATGGGTCCTACAACAGTTTATAATGATATTGTTTCAGGTTTTCAAATAGGTTGCTATATGTTAAGTGCACTACTCAAATCTACACTTCAACCATTATATAATCAAACATGGATTAATATGATTAGTAATTCATCAGCTAATTTTGAACCACTCAACTCATCAATGTCAAATTCGACAGTCGAGACATTATTAAGTCAATTATTTGTGATTCAATGGATTAACACAACATCGTATGAACAATATTTTAATAATTGTTTGCCTGATTCGTGTCAATATAGCTTGATGGAGCACTATAGTTTGTTAAATATTTTAACATTATTAATTGGATTGTTTGGTGGATTATCCTCAGCATTTATGATAATTTCTCCGCTCATTGTGACAAAAATCTGGCCATTTATATTAAAATTGTTTATTCGACAACGAACACATGTGACACAATCCGCATCAGCTGAACCTAATGCAAGTAAATGTCTTTGAAATCCCATAGATTTCCTATGCACTTTGTCTTTTTATTCTAGCATCTTCTTCTGGTAATTCTCCAATGGGATTATTATCACGGCTAAAAAAATCACTCCAGGAATTAAATTTATTCAAAAAAATTCCTCCATCACAAGATGAAAATATTCTTCAACAAGAACGTCATACGACACGACTCTATCTAATTCTTTTCTTTTTAGCTTTAACAATTCTTATTCTTTTTACTTCGATTACACCACAATCGATCAGTGTTACCGTTCCATCACCATCATTTACAGATTTCATACAGCTTTATGCTAAACATTCAGATACACTTCGCTGTCCATGCGAACAAACTACCATAAAATATCGTCAATTCATTTCGTCTATCAAACCAATATATCATGAAATTTGCTTGAGTGATTTCGTTTCTGCGGATTGGATTAACCTTAAATATAACGAATCTTCTTCATCAAAATTATTTACTCATGATTTTCGTTCACAAGCAGAATATCATTTTCAACTTCTTTCTACACTTTGCCGTATGGCCAATCAAACCATTGAAGAAAGTCTACAAACGTTTTTTCTCACTGAACTTGTTACCAATGACGTTCTTAGTCAAGAATCATTTCAGATTCAAATTGATTTAATTGTGGAACAATTTAAAAGAACAATGCCAGAAACTTTTCAACAGACAGTTCAATTAATAAAAGCAAACTTAGAAATCAATCAATTCATTACACCAAGAAATACAGTTTTTTATGTGTATTCAGGTCAAACAGAAGCAAACCTATATTTAGATATGCGTTCCTATAATTGGAAGGAAAAACCTGGATGTGATAATATTTTTCTAGAAAAGCAGGAATGTAAGTGTTATCCTTTTTCTACTAATGAATGTTATCTATCGACAGTAATTATTGACGATCAAATGGAACATATTCCCATTCCAGGCACGATTCAAACATGGTTTCCTCTTCAGTCGCTTTTCAATTCAACATTAGAATGTTTTTACGATGCAAAATGCCTCGCTAAAATAACACAATTCATCAATTCAAGTGTATCACGAACGAATTTTACTCCACTTGAATTGCCATCATCATCTTCTCTGAACAAACAATTTGATTATATCGAATCCTTGGCAAATGATTTATTTATTCGATCGTGGAATAATGAAAGTTCTTACCAGTCTTATTTTGATGAATGTCATCCACGCACCTGTCAATATACGTATCAGAGGAGATTCCATTATATTTATATGATAACAACAATTGTTGGATCGATAGGTGGTCTCAATATCGTCTTACGTCTACTAACACCAATTATTATTAAATTTATCTATTATATTTGGATGAAAATCTTACGTCGACAACGAAATGTAACGAGTGACGATGTGACAGAAAATATGTCTGTACGATTAAGTAAGATATAGGATTTCAACATTTGAAAGAACGTTTTTTTAATCATATTACTTTCCTTTTAGAACTTGGTCATCAATTTCGATTAATAAAACGACATTTGTTCGAATTAGACCTATTTCCGACTATTCCACAATCAGAAAATCCAATAATAATTCGTCGAAGTCGACGTAAAACTCGATTCTATTTATGTTTTCTTATTATAGCATTGCTTATTCTTCTTCTATATACATCACTACAATACGATACAATTACCGTTGTGATCAAATCTCCATCAGTGTCGCAATATGAAGAATTACTTTCTCAATATCCTCGAACATTAAAATGTCCCTGTAATCATATTGCAATCAAATATGATAAATTTATTTCTCAAATTGAACCTCAATATCACCAAATATGTACAAGTACTTTCGTTACATCAAAATGGTTTGAAGCTTTGAAAGGAAAAGACATGAGTCGTGTCGGTGATGATTCAGATTTCCGTAAAATAATTGGTGTACAATTTGAAATAATATCAAAGCTTTGTTCACTTTCAAAAAAGACATTAACTGTTGCATTATATGCATTTCAAGAAACAGATTATTTTACACGACATGTTATTCCACGTGATGAATTTAAAGTTTCTACAGAAGCATTATTAAAACAATTTGAGACCACAAGAGGTCATCAGTTTATGCAAATAATTAAATTGATTCAAGCAGTCAATCATGGAAATCAATTAGTATCAGTACTTTCATCCAATTGGAAATTCATTTTGAGAGATGTAGACTTTTCATCTGATGAAATAAGTATAGATTCGCCTTCATTAGATGTACTAACTCTGTCAAACACGTATGACGAAGATAATTGTTCATGCGCTGTACATTCAAACTGTTCGTATCTGTCCAATTTTGATTTTCGGACGTCGAATCAATCATTGAAAGAAACTCTTCCAGGTTTTCGCGTTGGTTGTCTAATTCTCGATGCCCTTCTTCAATCAAGTTTTTCTTGTCTCTACAATAAAACATGTTTGGAGTTGATGCGTACAGCTATCTATTATTCTAGACCTATTCCAGTTCAACTATTTACTTACAAGACATCGTCTGAACTAAACATAACAATTGAAACACTTCTTGGTCAACTTTTTGTTTTACAATGGGTCCATCAAACATCATATGAATCATATTTTAATGCCTGTGCTCCTCAACAATGTCATTATTCTTATTCAACGAACTTTAATCAAATTTATGTAATAACAACTCTAATCGCTGTTTTTGGTGGTTTAACCAAAGGACTACATATTGTTGTATCTGGTGGAGCATGGATAATTATTAAGATCTTGGATTATCGGAAGAAAAAACGGCAAGTAACAACAGACATACAACAATCAAGTATTATTGTCATCGATCAAGATAATAACAATATCGAAATGACTTCTGTTGTAGACATCAATCAGGTTACTATCATGTACAATATATTCATTCTATTCTGTTTTGTTTTTAAGATTCCTGTTTCTTCCACGAATGAAGAAACCAATGGGTAAGTACGAAAAAAATTCATAAACAAAAATCTTGAATTTGTGATATTTATTATATTTTTTTTAAGATATAGAAAGCAGAAAGAACGTGCATATGTAGTTGTTGTTAGTTTATTGCTTGTGACAATGGTAATAATAGTTTCGATCGTTTGGGTTTTGAAGAGATATTCAGAATATCAAACGATCGTTTCAACTAAGAGAACCACGACAACAACCATTAGCTCTACATTAGAATCAACATCAACAATAACTGGTATATTTAAAGATACTATACAATCCACTAACTCTTCTTTTATTTTTAGATATTTGCTATATGAACTTGAAAAATCAATTTCAAACATATGCGACTGGCGATGATCCTAAGCAGGTCATTACAGGCGATTTTAATAAAGATTTCATTTTAGATTTAGCCGTAACAAATTGTGGCAGTGATTCATTCAGCGTAATGTTAGGCAATGGAAATGAAACGTTTCGGACACAAAAAATTTATTCAACGGGGAATAGAACTTGTCCAGCGGGAATAGCAACTGCTGATTTTAATAATGATACATTTTTGGACTTTGGTAAGTGTCGAAAAATTTATCTTGGTAAAATATCGGTAACTGAGAGTTATTTGAAGATTACAAAGATCAGTTTCATTCATTTGTTAGCATAAGCAGTCGAATCATACTGAAAAATTAGTTAATTAGAATAACGATGTACCTACAGAGATTATCGATAAACAGTTACATATATTGCAATAATAATCACAAACTACTGGAAAACTTTCTAGATATTTGATATGCCAGGTAGTTGATCACTCCTTAAAAAATAGCTGAAAATATCCTAATTACAATGTTTGTTCTAGAAATTTTTCGGATAGCTTCATTTAAACTTCATTCTCTTTTAGCTATTACATTATGGACAGTAAACCAAATAGCTATTTTCTTTGGTGTACCAACGAATGTTTCATTCTCTTCAGTATCATACGCATTTTCATACAGTTTTTCTGCTACTAAATCAACTGAGATTGAAACTGCTGATCTTGACGGGGATGAATCTTTTGATTTGGTCGTCCCTAATCAGGATTCCTTAACTTCACGATTTCCATTAGGAATCTATTTAAATCGAGATAATGGTCGACGATTCGATTCTGTCTGCGGTACTCTATGTGAAGATTGGATAGCCAATGGATTTATAATTTCGGTAGTCATTAGTGATTTCGATGATGATGGAAAATACAATGATCTCAGTTTATGTGGTAGCAACAATCAAGTGGTGACAATCTCTTCTATCAATTATACTGATATTGAGTATGATCCACGAGTGGCATATAACACTGTATTTGCTAATCCATTATCATTAATCAGAGGAAAGTTTAATGATGATAATTTCGATGATTTAGCTCTTGTTTCGCCTGAATCTGATACATTGCAGATCTTGCTTGCTGTCAAAATTGGAAAATTTAGTCAGCAAATCTATCTAACCAACACTCATGCAACATCTGTTGCACGAATCAATTTTAATAATGACTCGATCGATGATTTAGTAGTATTACATTGCAATGGAACTGTAGCGGTCTTTCTCGGAACTAAACTTGGACTTTTTGATCAAACTGATATTTTATTTGAAACCAATGAAGAGGGCAATGGTCAATGTGCTCAATCAATCAAAGTAAATGATTTCAATCGAGATGGAAGAGATGATCTGGTTTTTGTTGATCCTGAAACGAATACCGTCAGAGTTCGATTAAACTTACCTTGTACTGAGTAGACTTTATTTTGCTTTTCTCTCATTTAATTTAGCACATTTACTTTAAGAAAAAATAAATATATTCTAATTACTAGCCTTTAAAAAGATTTTAATATTTTATGTCACTCACTATAGGATTACAATTAGTTTGCATCAAGGAAAATGTTTACTTACAATGAAGATGAAGATATGGAATGGGCTTCGACTAAGAATGAACCTAACAGCATTCCAACTTTGATGGTAATGTTGACATGCAAATATCTTGTATAATCCATAGAGATTTAAAAACAGGAGAAGTTTAGGGTAGATACCTGAGTTTTTTAAAAGATCTATACGACACAATACACATGAATACATAGATGAACATAGATAACAACGTTCCATATTGTACATTTGTATCTCAGTCCATGCCTTGTTCGATAGTTGTCGATATGACTGTAGACGTAACATTATCCTGCTTATGTTCAGCTACAAGAATGAAAAATGGAAAGTGCTCTGTTAATAACCATGTTGATATCGATTCTCTCGACGATCTTTCTTCCTATTTTTATCTTTTGTAAATATGAGCAGAAAAAAAATTGAAAATAATTATAATATCAATCTATCAGATATCGAATTGTTTTGTCTCTTTTTCTTTCCACAAATAGACAACGTTTAGCTTTTGATAGACTCGAGTCATATAGAAAGTTCGACGAAATCTGAAAAAAAACAATGTTTACCGGTTTTCATTCAAGTCTTCGCAATTAGTAAAATAAAAATAAACTGCCGATGCCAGCATTAGTATTTTTTAATATATCGTTTGTTATTTCAATATTGACATAAGATATACGTTATGGTTTTTAACCGTTCTTGCAACATTCTCTTCGCTGAATTTATTGAGGAGAAAATGGCAGTTCTGTTCTTTTCAGTATTTTTTGCGACAGATGGTTGCAGAAGACATATGGAGGAAGTAGATTTGGAAAAAATGAAATGACAACATTAAACAGAGGATGAAGCGGTAATAATCGTCTTAAATATATAATATCGATCTACATGTTCACCAACGACTTTATCAACCGTATGTGGATGATGTTTATGTGTGAGACTGCAATGTTGTCAAAGAGATTATTCTATATTTACTTTCATCGACAACAATCTGTAAGATCTAAATAATGTAAAGTTTTAGACCAATTGCGAATAGTTAGAATAAATCGTAACGATTTGACTCAATTTAACTATTAAAAAAAGAAGGAACTTAATTTTTTAAGCAAATCGATTCCAGCTTTTCATCCTATGGTTTGATTAATTTGCATTGTTTTATTGAAATAATAATAATTTGTTATAGAATAAAAGCTTCAATATCTTTACAAAAATATTAGAGCGATCTAAATATATTTTTTATATGTTATATCGAATGGATCATTGAGCACATGTCGATGAAATTCATCTACATCGTCTAAGTGATCTGCTCACTGCAGCATTGAATTTTGATATTCTTGCATATCTGATGCTTTTCATTCAGATTTTTATATAATCTAATTGCTCTATATTTTTGCTTTGATGCAGGTGGACATAATGGGCATTTTTCAGCTTGTTCTGAGGTTTGAAATAATCCTTCTTTAGGGACCAATGAATCAATTTGATATTTGCTGTTGGAAAGGATATTTCTTTTTTTCGACTAATTGAACAACGTTGTGACACTTCTATAATATTTTTAGAATGTTTTTGTGCTTCTAATAGATGCTGATGGAGTCCAACCGAGCAATAACTTCTTGTACGACCAGGGCATTCGGGACAAGGAATTTTTTTATTTGGATTGATACGAATAGTACGCATGATATAAGGGCGTCCATTGTGCAAGAGCAACTGATCGCCTACCAAATTTTTATTACCATCACTTGATCGACTACTCAATATTGCATTTAATTCTGAGCTGTCTGGACATGGGTTATTTTTCAATTTAATCGTCTTACTGGGATAATCAGACTTCACAGCTTCAATGACCTCTTCGTAGATACAATCACCACCTCCAATAATGCTGATTTTGTCAAATTCACTTGCTAGTTTACCAAGAAAATAAATCAATTTTCCATCTGCTGAATTTTTGACGTTTTTTTTATGACTCTTCCTTAAATGAATATTAACTGTCTCCAGTTGTTGTAGCTTCTCAGTAACCACTATATCGTAATCATTCCAAAATAAGTAGAATACCTCATTGTCTGAAATTTGGTCTTTTTTGAATTCATCAAAGAGACTACTACGACCGCCGTCACAGTCAAATAGATAGAGGTGCCGGGAGTTAGACGACATAGATTTGTTGAAAATGGCAAGAGAGATGAAATGTTAACAACTATAAGAAGAGAAAAAAATGACATCTTATTTTGTTATTTCTCTTTTCATATATATTTAGAATTCTATCTGGGTTTTTTCCCTATTCATCTTTTACTATAGAGAACGAAGAGTTGTCGTGAGTTGGTGGGTTCTTTTTTTTCACGGTTCTCGTTAAAAACGTTTGTGATTATGATAGTATGACAGTCCGATATGAAATGCGTCATACTCCATTTTTATTTCATCCTTAATGTTGACGGAACTAGAAAAAAAAGCAGTCGGAGGGGTGCAGATAAGTATATGCGATGCAAAAAGAGAATGACAACATTAACCTTTTTTTACGATTTATGACCGATATTCCGCATTGAAACAAGGTGGAGTCAGTGATTACTACATATAAATCATCGCATTTTCTCTCTCAAACTTTTTTCATCGGTTTATATCTTCTAATTTCATTCAGGTTACCTATTCTCGCATAGAAGTAGATTCAGTACTATATCAGACTAACATCAGTTGATTTTTGCTTATAGAAATAATCAAGATCGTGTTGACAATAAGTTTTGTCAGGAGATCTCAGACTTTCATCGTATATCAAAACTTCTATGCTGATATCTTAAAGAAAAAAATCACAGACTAATTCTCAGGTATCAGATGATAAATAATTACCATTGTATTACTACGTTCAATGGAAGCAAACTCTTTTTTTTCTTATTCAAGTCTATCTTCAGATGCACAGCAAACACTATTATTCAACATGTAATCGAAAAAACACAACTGAAGAGATCAAATTAAATATGTTTAATGTATTAGAAGTTTTCACTACAGAATTCAACATTTCTGCTCAAGTATATCTCTCGAAGGTGTGAGTCTGTTAAAATATCACTTGTATTCTTCATTTAACGCTCCTCATATGGTTTTTACGAAGAAAGTAATTAACTTTTTTATGTTTGTTGAGTAGATATGAAAAGAGTTAAGTATAAATTACATTCAAAAAAAACATTTCACAACACTTATTCTACCTATTTGTTCTTTCATATATCTATTCCAGAGGAACAAATCAATAAAGTTATATAATAGTTCAACAGAGATGTTTGTGATAACAATTTATATGTACATAACATTGATCATTAGGGATCAGTATTTCTTCAGGCAATTGTGAAGAATACAGAGGATTTTGTAGCAAGATATTATTCGCTTTTGAGTGTCAAGAAATGTAATGATATTTATTCCAGAAAAGTGACACAATCTATTAATCGCCAAAGGACTATCAATTAACCTTTAATTAAAAAAATTGACGATCACTTTGTTACTTAAATACCCAATTCTGTACCAAAATATAAGCTCAATTCTATTTCAAATTCCGATCAATCGCACGGTACTTTATTGAAGAAAAAAAGAACTGACTTATGCAGAAGTTAATCTTATGAATGCTACAACGTCTTTCTATACACTGATGCTAAACATTAGTGTCATTGAGGAGCTGATAAATCCTGTTTTCTTTTGTTACCATGAAGTGAAAGAGTGATGTCAAATGATAAAAAATCTTTTTCTTTCCAAATATAGCAATAACTTCAATTGAATCGAGAAAATTAATTAAGTTCATCTGGGGAATGGGAAATAATAACTTAACAGGGAAGTAGCACTGTAACATTAAACAGAGTAAATAATGAATCTGCGCTCCAATAAAAGCTGATCATCGGAAATGAAGTTTATGGATACTTAATTGTAAGAATTATCGAAACTTGTCAGCGTAGAATTTCGGAAATTCTATACTATTTTGGCACAGGAAATTGTGATGTTATAGTGATCTGGAATTGGAATGACGTTTTTTCCTGAATATTTTTTATATAATTCGATAGAGTTCGTGGTGCTGTATCAAACTGGATGAATTAAAACTTTCAGTACCATTTTTCTATCTTGTTAAACGTACGAATTTTAAAACTCATGCGGACATATACTGAGAAAGTATTTCTTTGATTTTCACGTTTAACTGAACGTAACGGTGACTTATGGGTGATAAATGCTAGAAATTCTCTTCTCCTTCTCTACACACATTTCATAATTCAAGGAATATTTTTGTGTTTGATCATATATTAATACCAATAACAGAAAAAGAGCGTATTAATTTAATTCAAACTGTTCGATCAACAGAATCTCTTCTCAAGGTAAACGATAATAGATGGCATTGTTTTGTATTTTTAATGAATGTTCGAATGATTCAAAAGGAACATGAAGAAAATCGAGTGGAAGGTAAGATAAATGTATTTCGAGAATATAGGAAAATAATACATTTCTTGGTTTTATTGATAATAAGACAAAAAGCAACAAATTAGGATTTTTACAATAAAAACCACTGAAAATAAATGTGAATACAAGCTGATGACATTCGTATTGTTGTGGTGGGCTTGATATGATCGATGGATTGAATCCTTTGGTACAAATAATAATTGAATGAATGGTGTTACTTCAGACGGGAAGATTATCTACTCTTTAACTAGATTATCTGAAAAGCAACAAAATATCGATATCTGAGCGTCTCTAAAACTCATTCGTGCTAATTTTTCAATTTATCATTTATTACTTACTTAAACTGGATGTTAAACGAGTTGTTGATGACAAACTTAAAAATACAAAAATAGTCTACGAACCATCACCTATGACTTCTTACTTAGAATATCATCCAAGAAGAACAGTAAATTATGAATTACTTAAGTAAAACTTATGTCAAGACACATCAAATCTGTGACTGCGATTATTATAACAAAAATTAATTTTCATTATCGAGTTTCCTCGAACCCTGGTATCTTTTCTTAGAACGACATTCCAATCAGCAAAAACAATCAATCTTTTCATGCTTCATTTTCTTCTTTCAAGAACGGAAATTCGAGTTGTTCATCTAATCATCAACAAGATTGTCATTATGATTGGAATCTTAGATCCGGTAAAGTATATTTTCTGATTCCCTGGTGATTAGCGTACCACTAATGTAAATACGCACGAATGAATTTAATCATCGGAAAATTATAGACTTGAACTTGAAAGAGTTTGTCTAATTTTTGTCAAAATCTATTTTTACTGAGAATATAAGAGTTGTAATTCATCACACAGGAGAGACGGTTTCTACATTAATCTGGAAAGCAACCATGGTATAAAAGGCATTTCATTACTATGGACTGGTCTTATTTTTATTTTTCTTATATTTTGACGACATGATGTAAACTATCTTTATTTCTTCTCTAGTGACAAGCGTTAAGATCATCAATAAAATTTCCTATGAGTAACAATATATCAACGACTACCATCGATCCAGCTGTAGCTAGATTAAATGCTGCTCGTATTGGAATACAACATATTGGTCAACCAATTCTTCTGACACTTAGCATGACTGGATGTATATTAAATATTGCCATATTTCTTCGTCCAGCAATGCGCACAAATTCATGTGCTATTTATTTTCATGCAAGTTCGTGGGCTAATTTACAGTGTTTAATATGGGGTCTGTTTATTAGTATGCTGGGTGCTTTTCTCACCAATAATCCATTAACATATAATTCGGCATATTGTAAAATTCGTTATTATATACTGACTGGTTCTCAATTGGCCAGTCGAGCAAGTGTAGCAATTAAAGTTATGGGCATAACCATTACCAGTTGTGCTTGTTTATCAATCTACCTACTGATAGTTTATGACGCACTTCCTCAAGCACGGCAATGTAATGTTAGTTTGGCAGTAGAACGAATAATGGATACGACCGTTTTATTCGCATTTAATTTTGGAACTCCCGCTTTACTAATGAGTGCATTAAGCGCATTGATTATATGGCGATTGAAACAAAATACTAAACGAATTGGTCATCAACGAGTAGGAGAAAAATACTATCCTTTAGAATATACATTGTTCTTTATGTCTCATCTAGGTTCATCTACGTAAAAGAGATCTTCAGCTTGCAGCTATGCTTATCGGACAAGTGACGCTATACATTATAACAGCACTTCCCTTTGTTACCAATTTTGTCTATCTGACAGTAACACAATACGATTCACCATCAAGTAAATCAGCATATCGTGTTGCAGCAGAGGCTTTAGCTTCAACAGCAACGGGCAGTTTTGGTACCTTCATATTTAATGCAGTAAGAATGTAATATCTATATAGATTTACTGTTTTATCATATGTGATTTTAGTTAACTTTCTATGTTTACACATTGACAGCACCAAGTTTTCGTCGTGAACTATTTGCATTAATCGTTCCGAAACGATGGATGAATCGTTTTCAACCAAAAGAACACATTGAATTGTCCCGAACTAATCGAGTCAATCCATCAATGCGAATTACTCAAGCAAATGATCCTCGAATCTGACGGAATCAACCCAAATGAACTTTAATAAACAATGTAGATCAACATTTTTTTTCCATTCATACTCTAAATGATTTGCTTGTACTTCTTTTAATCAACCATGTGATGACAACAGGTTTATTTGTTAACCTTGAAGAAAATGAAAGCTCTTGACATACAGGTCTTTTGCTTTTAACATAGTAAAAAAAACAAACAAAAACGATAATAATAGTAATAGAGATAAAAAAAAACAATTCGATGTTATATTTATCTCATTGTATTCAATTAAGTAGAGAGACTAAGTTTTGTTCAGTTACTGTATCTTCCAATTGTTGACTTCTTGTGAGTGCTCTTTCAGTAAGATTTGTGACATATGAACGAATATATGGAATATTGGTTATTTGATGTATATAAGTAGTTGAAACAAAATGAGGTATATTAAGTGCTGCTCGAATTGATTTATTTTGAGCAATTTGTAATCTGTTCCATAATTTATCTTCAGCATGTAGAAGAACCGAAGAACCATAGGTTAATATTGGTCGAATCAATGACTTATATATATTGAGCATGATCGTTTCATTTGAATCAGGAGTAATCCTATTCAAAAAATCGAAGTAAGTTTATACGAGATTGAATTCTTGTTTCAATATGTTTCACATGTTCTTGCCAACGTAATTGTTTATCAAAACTAGTTCCAAGATAGCGTGCAAATGGTTGTGGTCGTATATCATTATTTGATACTTTGAGATGAATAGGGTTTGAATATTTTTTACGAGAATGAGGTGAAAAATGTATAAGTTCCGTTTTTGTAGGCTGAATAACAAGTTTCCATGGGTGACACCATAGTACAAATTGATCAATAGATTCTTGTAATCGATCACGAACCCTAGATGTTGTATTACTCGAAGTAAAAATTGCAGTATCATCTGCAAAAAGTCCGTAATCAACTTGAGATGGAATAGAATTCATTGAATCTGATGTAAATAAAATATAAAGAAGAGGTGACAATGGACTGCCTTGAGGTGTTTCATTTTTAATTTCAAATGAATGAGAAAGCTGATTTTCAAGTTCAGTTTGTGCTGTTCTTTTGCATAAGAATGATATTATCCAACGAATAAAATATACCGGTATACGAAAGTCATTCATCTTGTAAATCAAACCATCATGCCATACGCTGTCGAAAGCTGATTTTATATCAAAAAAGATTACAGCAGCATGATGATTTCGATCAAGCGCTTGTTGAGCACAACGGTTTAATCTTAAAATATTGTACATAGTAGATTTGCCTTCTAAAAAACCAGCTTGATGACGAGGTAAGATGTTGCGTCGTTTGAGTTCTGTTGAAAGTCTTTGTTTGATGATCTTTTCGAGAACTTTCCCCATTCTCAACTGAGTAAACTAATAGGTCGATAACTTGATACTTGAGATCGATCTTTTCCTGGTTTAAGTAATAAAATAATAAATGCCGTTTTCCAAGAACTTGGTACATAACCAAGTCTTAAACTTGCATTCATTAAATTGAGTAAATGATCAACGAGTGATTTGGTGAAATTCTTTGAACATCGATTATCTACGTTATCTGGACCTGCTGCCGAATTTGGTAATTTCTTCAGGATGAATTTAAGTTCTTTTGGTGTTATAACTTGAAAACTTTGACTATTGATTGATGAAGTACTAATTGATTTCTTAATTGTCTTAACTACTTCACTCACATGGATGTGAAAGGCAGATGTATCAGGTGTACTTGTATAAATATCATTCTCAAAGTATGTTGCAAACATATTTGCTTTTTCAAGATCACTATTTGCTTTAAATTGTTCATATTTTAAAACAGATGTAATCTTTTGTTTAATTCTTTTGTTATGATATTTTCGAATAAGTGCCCATACTTTTCCTGTATTCATTTGTTTTGTTGTAAGAGAGTGGAATATTCTTTTCAGACGAGCAATTCGATCATTTCGTAACGATAATACTGATTTTTTCCTACACCATATTTCTTCCAACTACGATAGAATTGATGTTTTAGATTGATGAGACGTTTGGTGACTGGACTTATTTCAATGTTAATTTTACCAGAACTTTGAGGAATAGATGAGCGAGCTGCTGCTACAATACTTTCACTAATAAAAGTTGTATATTCATCGATATCATTTGTAGAAACTATTTTACGATTCACATCCCATTGCATTAACTTTTCATTCAAAATATGACGATAAAGAGACCAATTTGCTAACTTAAATGAAAATTGAATTCGTGGTGATGGTGGTTTATCATCAGCCATTATCATTAAATCAAATGTTAAAGGTTTATGACCACTAACAGTACCAAGAGGCATATGAGTATTAACCTTATTGATACAGAAGATAATAGGTCGAGTTGCTAGAATTCAATCTAATTTTTCTTCGTAATTATTTCGTTCATATGTGGTTATATTATCATCGATACAAGAGAATGCAGTGTTATTTAATAAGTCTTGTAATTGAATTCGTTTACTATTTGTTTTACGTGAACCTAATAAAGTTGATGCTGCATTAAGGTGTCCCATTATTAAACAATTATTATTTATATTTAGAAGTTGATCAAATAATCGTGAAGAAATTTTTATTTGAAGTGGTATATAAAGAGAGCAGATTAAAAGTGTACCACTTTGTGTACTTATTTGTACAGCAACACATTCATTGTTGTCAATATTTTGAGAAAAAACTTCATAACATGATATCTCCTTTCTTATTACAAGAAGAACACCACCACCTTTTTTAATAGAACGATCGAAACGAAAAATATTAAATCCAGGTAATTGAAATTGAGTTTTTTTCATGTAAATTTGTCTCATTAATTGAAATAATATCCATTTTACCAAAACGATTAAAAATTTCATCTTTGTATTTTTTTGCTGAAGTTGCGTTAACATGACAAAAATGCATTATATTATTAAAGATTTGGTTTTGGATTTATTGGTTTTGATTGTGGTACTTTGATTAGCATTATTTGTTCGTTTCGGGTTGTAAGTAGTAGGCGAATCAATGTTGGAAGTGCGTTTAATTCCGTTACTGTTCATTGTGTTAGATTGTTGTTGCTATTGTTGATGCATTGTATTTGCATGATTTGTTTCACGAATATCAACCATTTCATCATCAACAGCTGAAAATTGATTTTGATTATTTGAGATCTCTAATGAATGATCATGAACATTTTTCTTTTCTTCAGTATCAGAATTAAAACTAATTTCACAAGACATAAAATCCATAGTTGCAGCAAGTGGTAAATGATATTTAGATGAGACTTGTTGGACTAATTTATTCATCTTATTGGTGAATATTGTAATTAGTTGATTAGTAATTTTTTCGATAGCTTTTATTGTTGCAATCGTACATGCTTCAGTAATACTATTGAGTGTTTCAGAAGTAATAGGTGAAGTTGTTGATGAAAGTATCGGATAATTTTTAAGAGTGTAGAATGATGTATATTAGTGGAAGAATATGAATATCGATCAATTGCTGTTTGTATACGTTTTTGTTCATTTATGTACTTTGGACAAACATGAGAGGTTGCTTCGTGTGAACCTTGACAATTGGAACACTTAGGTGTGAGTTGTTCTTGATCACAAACATTGTATCGATGAGGACCAGCACAATAAGAACATATGTGTTGTGTTTGTTTACAATATTTAGCTATATGTCCAAAACGATAACAAGAGTGACATTGTTACTAGAAAAGATCTTAATCGATTGTCATGATAGACATCCTACATCTGTGCAATTAAAAGATATTAATAATTTGTTAAACAAATTTGAATCTACACATATAGTCATCAGAAAAACAGATAAATCTAAAGTATTTCATCTTGGTAAATCTGATGACTATAACATGAAAGCGCAAATTTATATGACTAAAACTAAAGCATATCAAGTTTTAGGGAATATAAACCCACTTGAATCTTTAGTTGATCGAACGAATGATCTACTTTATCGTTTATGGGCTAGCAAACATATTACTCAAAAGCAATATAAAATGTTAAGTGTAGATAAAGATGAAGCTGAATTAGCCCATCTCTATTTCTTACCTAAAGCACATAAACCGAATACACCATTACGACCAATAATGGCTGGTCTTAAATCTCCAACCATGAAAATTTCTAAATGGTTAGATGGTTTATTAAGACCCTTATTTGATCGTTTAGCAGTTGACTCAACTATTATGAATGGTGTTCAATTAATAAAACAAGTAGAAAGATGGTCGGCTAGATATCTTACATCAGCCACATCATTTATAATAATGGATGTTACCAATCTGTATACAATGATACCACAAGAAGGAGGTGTAACAGCCATTAAACGTTTGATGGAAACATCTAATTTAAAACAAATCGATGGTGTTAAAAGAGAAATTATTCTAGCTCTTACCAGATTTGTAATGACTAATAATTATTTCTATTTTGATGGGTCTTATTATAAACAAATAAGAGGTGGAGCAATGGGATCACCACTTATCCTAACAATAGCAAATACATACATATACTTTGTTGAACGTCCAATATTCAAATGGGCTCAAAGAACATGTTCAATATACTACAGGTATATTGACGATCTATTCATTATGTCAAATGTACATGCAGATACGTTAAAAGGTCTTGTAAAATTCTGGAATAGGCTCGATAGCAATATTGGACTTTCTGAATGTGTAGGATCAACTGCAGAGTACCTTGATGTGAACCTTGAGAATAGAGGAGGGATATTGATGACTGAAGTGTTCCATAAACCTTCACATGAACCATATTTTCTTCCTTTCACAAGCGTACATGCACAGCATATAAAGAAGAATATTCCTTGTGTAGCTTACACTAGAGCAATACGATATTCTTCAAGTTTCGAAGCGTTTAAACGTGAGGAAATACATATATGTATGTCGCTATTATTAAATAGATATCCTTTATCTTTTATTCTTAAACAATTTGAAAGAGTCTTACAGACATTTCAATGTGCAGTACCTACTAGAAAGAATTACTTAAATATCAGGAAAATCTTTTTAGAAACTGTAGATAATAATAATAATAATATTACGAAATAGGCTGGAATTGATTTTGAAGTACATATATTATGTCATTTTTCTTTTACAAAAGGAATGCATAATTTTTCAACAAGATTTCAGGAACTTTGGAATACTTGTTTCTTAGATACAGCCATTGGTAATATGAAACCTGTTGTAGGTTCTAAAAGATTGCATAATCTTCAAGATTATCTAGTCAAAAAGAAACCAAACAAATCTTTAATTGGAATTGATAAATAACATATTATTCTTATTAAGTAATAGAGCTGTTTTAGTTCTAATGAATAAATAACATACTCTCTTCATGCTTTGTCGTTCTCAATTAAATTGGAGTTAAGAGATGACATATTCTTTCATGAATTAGGTAATAGAGTTGTTCTAATCGTATATTAGAATTAATAAACAACATATTCCCTTCATGAGTCAACTAATAGAGGTATTTTATTTCTAATAACTTCTCATTTGGAATTCATAAATAACTTATTATTTCTCATAAATAATTTATTACCGTTCTGAATCGAAAGAATAAAGAACAGAAGTAATAGAGTTTTTTAATTCTAAATACTAAAATAGTACAAGGTACACCGATTACGATCCAGGAAGACTTGCTACAATGATCTTCTAACCAACCGTTTTCTTATATCACACTCTTTATTAAATAAATTTTTCTGTCGTTGTTAGTATTTTGTGCAATGTATTTTGTAATTTTCTGATGAAGTCAAGTGATAACTTGACAGAAACCGGTCAATAAAATTCTGCAAAATAATTTCATATTTTTGTTATTATATATTTATCTTGAGAGAGTCTAATTGAGAAGTAAGGTTAATCCGTAACACTTATTCATGACAATGAATCAACCGTGCTGTCACATACATGTCATGAAAACATAGGCGTAGGAAAATGTTTTACGCACACCTGTTTTTCATTATTCACACACTACGCAGCTGTGTGTGAGTAATGAAAACATTTTCCTACGCTTATGTTTTCATGACATGTATGTGACAGCATGGCTGATTCATTGTCATGAATAAGTGTTACCGACAAGAAAACACTCGACTACCTCACTGAATATAAATACCTGAGGTAGCTGGTCCTCGGTATACACATAAGCAACTTCACTAAACTCCAGCGTTAGCTGTCATCGTAAGTATATCCAAATTATTTATACATCGATTTTTCTATGTCATGCAATACTTCGCACATAAATACTTACTTCAGCATTCGAAGTAAATGTTTGTAGTATGCCGTAGAGTAAGCTCAAAAATCGAAGAAAATCTACTTTATGCTACGGAAGATCGTTTGTACATACATTTAAAATGTTTATACTAAGCAATAGTTGCAGTCTTCCCCTTTTCAATACATTTTATCTGACTTCGAAGCTATTTATCCATTTTAATATGGATGATCCGGCCTCCTTCCTTAATCACACATTGTTTGAATCGTCCTGTATGATCTTTCTGTAGAGAACAGGAGAAACTTTTCCTCTTTCTTTACGTGGGGTTAGTCTTGCAGAAACACTTGATCGTCATCGTTTTAATTTACAAAGATACACTAGAATGAGGTAAATGTTCGTCTTTAAAGGTTTCTGATGAAGTTCTATCAACTGTAATCATAAAGTGTAGCGTTCAAGTTTTTGAGAGGATGGGACGTTTGAGGGAGCGGCGAACAGTCTCCAAAGAATTAGACAGCTTATTACTCCGATTTTCTAAGAGTAAGGTGGTATCAAGTTGCAGTTTTATGTCGTCCGCAGAGCGTGCATCAAGAAGCTGTCGATTTTTCTTTCTTCTTTTTAACTGTTGGAAAAGCAAGGTAGAAAAAAGGATAGAAAGAAAGACAAGATCATCAGTTCTGAAACACGCATACTCGGTTACCTTTGTAATCTAGCTCTTCACTTAAAGTAATCATATCTGAACTAAATCAATCGCAATTCTTATTGAACTTTCAGGTTCGAACTATCACACGCAAGTGATGTCTAAATCGACAACATTTAAAGAATTGGCTGAAGAGTGGGGCAAATACACTTCAAAGGTAAGTATTAATTTCGCTGGAGTCGTATTCAATCAATTAGTTCCTTTTCCCGTTTGTTAGAATGCAAACGGCGGTGGTTCAAGAGTTGTTATGCCTGGAGATGACGATAAAGAAATGCGCAAAAACGCCAACAACTTAAAATATGATTTGCAACTGAAACCGGCAGAAGAGTTTGAAAAAAGTGAAGCAAAAATGCGCTATGAAGGTGAAGTGATAAATGAGACTGAGAAAGACATAGAAAAGACAGAAGAGCTGGAAGTAGGAACGACGTGGGAAGCTACTTCGCGTGTCACGATGGGCCTGGAAATGGGAATATGTTCTTCATTTGGCGTGAAAGGTATTGCTGATATTGAAGTGACTATGAAAGTAAATTTGGAATCCGAAATAACTGAATCAAAGTCCGAGCAGCAAAAGCATAAAGAAACATATACACTTTATATTCCTCCACATAAAAAACTTACA